TGAGTGAGATTATAATTATACTTGCTACTTGTTACTTTGTTGTCTATTATAGTCAAACGTTAAATTAATCTAAAGATTAACTAAGTGACTATAAAAATTGTTAGTAATTGTGTTTTTTCGTTGTACATTCTATATTTGTAAAATAAATGATATTTCGATAAAAAAGAAAATATTTTTTTCTTTTTCTGTTCTATTTATCATAACTTTATCTTTTTTATTCTTGTAACAATATGTAATATTTTTATTCTTGTAATACACTCATATGTTTTGTATAAATTATAAAACGAAAATGTAGACGATAAGTACATGTAGTGATCGTGTAAAGTAAGAGTTCATGGATAATTTCCCGACAGAATTAAATTCTTCCAACGGAAGATGTGATTATTATTCTACTGCCATTTCTTGCAATTTACTTTCATGACATAACTGCATTACCTAAAAAGACATCTCTGAAAGTGTTTTTCTTTATGTAGTTCTTATGTAACTATTGCAATATACTATTTTTCAATAACTTGACAATAATTTTTGTATCAATTCTTAAACAAATTTAAATTTAATGGATATTTTGCAAGAGTTTGATTGAAAATTATTTCTTTAATTATCCTTAAGAGAATGTTGGAACGACCGCCAAACTTGATTGATGTTAATAGTATAAATTTTTTTAATTTTAAATTAAAAAAATCGATAATAGTTTTTAGTTCATTAATTATAGCATTTTTTACTGGTGCGCACTCATTAAAGCCGTTGTACACAAATTGACGTAAAGATGTATGTTTGATAAAAATATAGAACGAATTAAACCGCGAAATCCTCAATACATTTTATTGTGGTATTTGATAAAATATACATTGAGTATTTTATAAATTTAGATATCTCACTTTTACATTCAGATTAAGTTAGTGTACAACAGCTTTAATGTGCACTGAGTGCGAACCAACTCTGCCAGTGAAAAACTCTATTGCATTATTATTCTGTCTCACTCAAACGTCTGCATCTGTTCTTATCTAACATATTGCAACGCCACCTCTTGCAAGATCGAACACTATTGCTAAATACAATTGCTTTGTTTACGAGTCTTCACTCAGAGTTATATACGTAATTTGCAAATCAATGCAAATCTTTTTTTTTAAGCTTTTAATCTTAGTTTCTCAATACTGTTTGTAAACTCAGTTTTTGCATGTAAAAAGCTAGGTGCTAAATTGTCGTTTTGTTTTTTTCAAGTTATAAAACTTTTGTATTAAAGAAACATCTATACGTCAGGTGACAGCCAAGTTGAAAAAAAAATGTAAATTTTTAATTTTTTTTTTCGATTTTAGTGTAAAGTTCATTACAGCACCTCGCAATTTTACGTCTACTTCAATTCCGTAAAAAGATTTTCGATTTCATTCAGTAATTTCAGAGATTTATATTTGAGAGATTATATTGCAGAGATTTGCAATATCTCGACAATTTGGTCACTCCAGCATTCCCTTAACCAATCCGTAATTTTTGGAAATAATGATTTGTAAGCTTATGAAACTATTTCATTGTAAGCTTATGAAACTATTTCATCATACAATGTATGATGAATTGTCGCAATGTTCGTCACGTATGTCAATAACGTAACAATAGTAAGCATTACGATAATCTGACGAGACGGCCTATTACATGCTTTGAATTTTAAATAAGAAGCGTGTAATGCAATGGCGAATAATTACACCAATGCATTTGACGTATTAAGGTTTCCAAATATCCATATATCTATCAAGGTGTATGTGATATATTGATATTACAGAAAAATTATATCAATTTTATTTCAAAGAAAAAAATAAAGTATATTTCATTCATTTTCAAAATACGTTTAATTTAAGATTATATTGTCGTTGCAATAAAATGCTTATAAGAGACATAATACCGAAAAATTAATTACTAGTGATATTTTACTTTTGCAAAGTTTGAATAAAAAAAATTGTTTATATTAAAAATTATTAATACATTATACAATTGTAAAAATTACTACAGAGGACAAAATCAGATAAATATAAATCAATCAAAGGTGACAAATATTTATTTGTGGTTATTTATTATTTTATGTTATCATCATTAATTTACGGAGCTAGCAATTATATACAGAAATAATACTATTCAAAATTTTATTGTTAAAAAGTAAATATATAAAAGATTTTCGCAAATCATTTCCTATTCATACACAAGCATACTTTCATCAATGTGATATAAAACGATACAGAAGTTTTTGAAATGTTGTAGCTATTTGAAAACTGGATATAAAAAATTAATAAAATAATTATGTTATAAAACGTTTTGTACGATATATAGAGTATTCAAAAATTTCGAAAATATAAATCCCGTCATATAAATTAGAGTTAAAACAAGATTGTGCCGAGAAATATTACAAATCTGCAATATTGCGAAACAATCTATCGCGCGATTAGATTGTTTACGCTGAGAACATAAGGTTATTATTCATAATTTTTTTTGTAGTGTTCACAATTTGTATTCAAAAATTATTTGCATTCGCAATATAAATAAACAATATTAAATAATAGGTATTATAAATACTCTTCTGGAATAGTCTTAAAAAACACATTTTTATCGGTTTTGTTGGAAGGACAATCAATAAAGCAATTAATCATCTATTATTTCATTTATTTTGAAATAATTAAACTACTCATAAATTTGCGATTTACTTATAACATTATCCTTAAAAGCTTTCTCAAGTAGTCTCGTGAAAAATTTATTTCATAAATAAAAACGAAATTTTATACACACATTTTTTTATACACACTCGCTATTTTTTTTATATAAGTCATTTCCATCTCACAAAAAAATCGCTAAACACAAATTATTAGATACTAAAAAAGCTTTTAAATAATTATGTGATATTCTTATTGTCAGCGCAATGCCACGAGACTAATTGTTTTATAATACTGTAAGTTATATACATTGTATATTTAGTGACAGTTAACCTGTTTGTACGGAAAATTTAAATTCCGAGGGCTTATGGATATCTCCCCTCTTATATGTGCGAATTGAGGTTAAATATTGACATTGACATATATTCCAAATAATATCTCAGTAACGATTACATGAGTAGGAATAAATTTAACATATTTTTCTCTAATATTCCTTTAATACATTCTTCATAAAGAAAGCAGAAGTATATTTATAAATAGATAAATAATAAAGTTTCGCATCAGCTTCAAACGTATTATAGTAATATTTTAGCCATTTGCTTACTGCATCTTCTACGCATTGAAGAAGATCCAAACCTAGGGTCGAAGTATAGACAGTTCTAATTTCGTAATCAATCATTAAACTATAGATTTTCGAAACAATTACCTGATGCAGGCTCGCATCAGCATTTTTATAATATTATTATTCCTGATTTCTTTTTGAAATTTTTAAACTTTTCTGTAGGGCTACCGCACACACTTTCCATAACAGTAAGATATACCACCGTAAAGTTAGCCAATTACAGTCAAGAATTATCAAAAATGTTTAGCTCTGATTGACTAATTCTTATAGTACATCTTATGATACGTCTTACGATTATACGGTTACGGAAAGTGTATGTGATGACCATTATAATATTTCCATATTAAATTAAATCGTGCATACATATAATCGTATAAAATTGTGACAATAAGTATTAATTCAATTTATTATAATAAAGTTTGGGCAAAAACCTGCTGTGGACTCAGTCCCACTCAGAGCCACCATTTAATAAAAACCTTGACAATCGAGAGAGAAACCGGTATTGCAAAGACTTCATCACGAGTCCAATCTAAATGAAAGAATCTCAAGGATACAGAGAAAAAAAACTGTAATTTTATACATACATACATACAACCGATAATTACTAATAAAATTAAGCCTGCTCAGAACTTAAAGAAAATTATTTTTAAAATAGA